TTCTAGTGTAAGAGAGGGAAGAGGAAAAAAGGTTTCATTAGCAGGGTGTGGGAATCCAGACCTTTGGTGTTTGGGAACCTCTTCAAGTACCCTAGCCGGGACAAATAAGGTGGGAAAGGATGGAAAATTCTCAGAGCTGGCTTCAAATCATGCTGCCCTACGGAGGAAGGGATGGAGGTAACCTGAGTCTACCTCAGCTGGCTCTTTAGCTGTGAGATGGTTGGCCCCTGGTCCATGGTTGCAACCCACAGTGTGGCTTAAGGACTAAGGACCCGATCTGAGTGCTGAAAAAAGACAAAATTGGAAGCCAGAAAAAACTGGCTCTTTCTCCAGTTCTGTCCTGGATGGTCTTCCAGAGTAAAACCTCTGTCCTGACTCAGACTATACTTCCTACCTGGCCAATCAGCGTTTATTTAAATCATGATTGACAGAACTCAGACATCTGGGCCATCTGTTCTTACTGGAGATTTCTCAGGTAGTCTTCCTTGATTGAACCTGATTTTTCTTAACTCAGAATAAATCCACAGCCTCTCATTTCCTGTGGAAACAAAAGCAAAATCTTTTCTCCAAAGTAACATACCTTTTGACTTCAATTTTAAAGTCAAGGTATTTTCAAAGTCGTGGCTTTGCCATTCCTTAGCTTTATGAAATTCCAGCCTCTTGGCAGAGGTACTGGCCGGAGCCTTGCTTATTGCCACAACTCTATGGCATTTCAAGATCCTTTCCAGCAAGCTAGCTGCAACACTCAAATGCTCTTGGCAACTGACCTCCTGCCTCAAAAAGTCAGAGTTTGCACTGACAGGACGGCCCAGGAAGCCGGCATTTTAAAGCAGCACAGCTTTCTTCCCGCTATGGCTGAAAACCAAAAAGCATGCGTTCAACTTTTCATCAACACCGTTTAAGTGTTTCGTGGCAGGACCTCTTAAAAGAGCTGCAAGGTTTTGCAGCTAAAGCTGAGTGAGGAAGTCTCTCTTAGACAGAGCTCTTGCTTGCCTTTAGCAAGCAGAAGAGATTCGAGAAATTGCTGCTACCAAGAAAACATGCTTTCTTCTATTCTTTCCTAAGCTTTCTCAGGCTTTCTGTGGATGCAGTTATCCACGTGGGTGCCATTCTGTAACATAAGGGCCGCTGTCAAAGTCACAGCTTTAGTCCTATCGATATTGCTAGTTCAATTAAAGACTCATGTGGTCAGAAAGAGAGATATACAGTAAAGAGAGATTCAAAGACAAAGAAAACCTCTAAATGGTCTGCACTGTGTTAAAAATATGTGCAGGGTAATAAAGGTTAAAGTCTTAAAAAAAAAGAGTACTTGGGTGTGGTGGTCCACACCTTTAATCACAATGCCTGGAAGGCAGGGATAGACAGATCTCTGTGAGTTCAAGGTGTGGTAGCACACACCTTTAATCCCAGGACTAGGGAGGCAGAGGTGGCTGGGTCTCTGCGAGTTCAAGGACAGCCTGGTCTACAGAGTTATTCCAGGACAAAGATATACAGAGAACCTGTATCAAAAAGTAAAATTAAAAATAAAAGAAATAAAGGTTAAAATAAAGCCGCACACGGGTGAAAAATACACAGAGAATCTTGATACTGTATGCTATTATGCTCTCTTTGAATTGTTCGAATGCTGAGGAAGGAGCAACAGCTGCTAAAAGATATTTGTTTATAAATGCTGCTGAATTAATCCAAGATAGGTATTTTGAAAATACCTTGATTTCAAAATTGAAGTCAAAAGGTATGTTACTTTGGAGAAGAGATTTTGCTTTTGTTTCCACAGGAAATGAGAGGCTGTGGATTCATTCTTAACTCAGAATGAATC